TATGCTGTTTATTGTCAGAGGGATGGTAGAAGTTCAGAAATAGTTTTTTTTTTTAAGCTGAATAATATCTCTTGATTAGTTGCTGGGATTCTTTGGTTGTGAAGCAATACCTTCAGATAAATCATCCATGAAAATGACCTTCAGCTGTGGTAGATTTCTAGCCCTTAGAAGCTGTTTACTAAAGTCTGTATTAGGTTGAATACTGAATAGTCCATCATACTCATAATGGGGCTAGAACAGAATTGCTTGACTCTGGTTTGATGTTACTTTAATACATGAGTCATAAAACTAGCTGTCAAGATGGAATAAACAATCATAGCAGCCTGTACCAGAAAAACATTCATGGGCTGATGATTGGGCAAAAGTAAAGCAGATTAAGTCCAATTCCTGGATCCTGCTTTGTTCTAAGGCATAATTCACAATGTAAAAATCCCCTTAAGAAACCCACTTTCCTGCTAGTTAAGAGACAAATAAGACTGCCTGAGAAGCCAGACAGGTAAATACATCTCCTGTATTGCTCTAGTTTGCTCCTTCAATTAGTCCTGTAATGAAAATGATTCTGAGTCTTCTAGGGAGTTTTGACAGGCTAAATGCCTGAAGGAAGGATGTGTTTGCAAAAGTGTAGTTATGTGCAACAGTCATAGCTTTGCTTTCCCAAGAACAGGACTTGGATGCCTCCGAAGGCATAATTAAAAGGTGATAAGGCTTCCTGACTTTCCTTTTGTTTCCCCTCAAGGTGACTCAGTCAAGGCTGTTTGCATTCAGTGACACAATTCTTTTGCACAGCTGGCTTTTCACACCACTGGCTGTGGATGGAATACATGACACAAAAATAGCACATCCTTTAAAACAGCAGTTTAACAATTTTGGTTAATCCTTATGTTGTGGTTAGATGCCAATAGCTTCATGAAGGCTAGAGTTTAAAACAGCAATTATTTTAAAGTATATCTCTTTTGTACACCACGAGTAAATTGGATTATGTTTTCTGAGCCTCCCAGGAGCATTAGCCAAAGCTTTTCCAGTATTATAAATCATCTTTATAGGCTCACAGATATTTTATAATAAAGGTTGGGATTTCCCTAATCTTTTTAATGTGAAATTCATGTTTCTTTCTCTCCATTAATCCTTATCCCATTTCTATGACTCCACTCACACACTAAATTTATCTAGGCTATCAGCCAAAGTGGAATGCTTGTTTACTTCCTTCCTAAAGCCCTTCTCTTCATCCAAATTACCCTTGATAGATTAGAATTCTATTCTGACCTTCCTGCAAAAATCAGGTAACTTAGTTATTATGGATCATGGGCAGGTGATGGACTTCTTATAAATTACCCACTCAGATGGTTGGTATGAACTTAAAGAAGAAATCTTTTTTTTTTTCCCCAGAAGCATAAACTGAAGGTCGTGAGAAAAGTAAAGACTTCTTTTTATTTACCTGTAATGAATCAAACTATAGTATTAGGCCACACTGGAAAAAGTTTATCACTGGAAATCTATAGTTTATATAGCTGGATGTGCATTTATCCAACTATACAACACATGAATTAAGACAATTCCAGACGTCAGTGGATTTTAATTCTATTTGACATTGTAGAATCTCTCTTTCAAAGCACAAACAAAATAAATAAATTAATTAAAAAAAGAACTCTAAAAGAGCAAAATGTCAGTAGGATATGAATCTATTTAAATGAAATTATTGTTATAAAATCAGAAAAATAATTGTCATTCCAGAAGTTTGTTTTATTTTAAGCAAGCAAATGTAGTAGTCACCAGTCAAATAAAAATAACTTAAGAGTTTTAGGTCAATATTATTTGACATGTATACAGTTCTGTGCTAACTAAACATAATCAAATTATCTGTTAATTAATGAGGTGATGATTTTTCATTGAATTCTTTTGGCTGTAAGTGGTAGAGATGACTCAGTGGTTAAGAGTACTGTCTGCTCTTGCAGAGTACCCAGGCTCAATTCCCAGCACTCACATGGTGGCTAACAACCATCTGTAACTCCAGTTTCAAGGGATCCATGCCCTCTTCTGACCTCTAAGGACAATACACAACACAGGTACACCTACCTACATGCAGGCAATACAGTCATACACATACAATAAAAATAACAAATATAAAAAAATAATATCCAAAAAGAAGCTTAGAGTCATGATGCTTTCAGGAGTGGTTCAACAGATTTAGTGATGTTATGAAAGACTCAGGTGTGTCTGTATTTTGGCTCTTAGCCCTTAGAGTCTTTGATTGCAGCTTTATTTGACCTCTTGGACATAGAGTACACTTGCAGTTTAGATATGACGTGTAGAGATAACATTGTCTGCCATGAAAGATGAACAGTTTCCTACTGCATATCTTTACTGACAGAAAACTTTTCTCAGAATTTCCTTAGCAGACTTTCCTGTGGGTCTCTTTGGCAATTGGGTCATATGCTTATGATCTAGTTCCAAAGAAAGTTAAAATGATGTATGATATTTTGTCAGCTTTTAGTAGCATGATATCTGGGCCAGGAAGGAAGATTCGGAGGAAGGGACTATGACAGCTGGGAGGACAACAATGCCTATTAATAATGTATAACACATTGGAGCACAGTTTTGGTACATGTTAGTCAGCTGTCATGAAAAAATGCCCCAAGCCAGATGAGGTGACACACACCTTTAATCCCAGCACTTGAGAGGCAGAGTCAGGAAGAGCTCTGTGAGATCAAGGCCAGCCTGGTCTACATAACAAGTTCCAGGTCAGCTGGACTACAGGGAGACCCTATCTCAACAAGACACAAAAAATGTCCCAGATAATCAAAGTACTAGGAGGGAAGATTTATTCTGGCTCTTGGTTTTGATTTTTGTTTTAGTTTTGCTTTTGTTTTGTTTTTGTCTTAGCTTTTTATTAAAATGCTTAGGATGCAGATTGCTCTTTTGTAATGACAGTTTTACTTTTGCTGGAATGGGACGTGCACTCTGCTAAGACAGAATGAAGAGTCTCAATTCATGGCATCTTGTACAAGGCCCAGGCCCTCTGCGGGGAGCCGTGCTCCTTGCAGCAGCTCTGTATGTGCACTCTGCTAAGACAGAATGAAGAGTCTCAATTCATGGCATCTTATACAAGGCCCAGGCCCTCTGCGGGGAGCCGTGCTCCTTGCAGCAGCTCTGTCAGCTCCCATATTTTAGAGATGGCGCTCTGTGGGGCAGGAAACAGACTGGTGCCGCTCTGCAGTCCCCTTTCTCCGGTGGCCAGAATAAACCACTTTCACAGAGCGCTGCCCTGAAAGCCCATAGTTTTCTAGATTGCTGCAGAGAGATTAGGGGCAAACAGGGAAAACACAAATAAAGAAACACTGAGGCAATCACACCTGTCATTTTCCTGGACAGCAAAGCATGGGCAGCCTTTAGCCAGTTACCCACCTAGCTCATTCACCTGAGGCTTTAATGACCCTTTCCACATCAACTATTCTGTCTCACTCCAGCTATGCTTGAATGAATGCAATGCATGCACTTGCCAGACAGATCATCACCAAGCCTATGCACTTAGAACCCAGCAGTACAACAGAACACTGCCCCACCAGGACTGTGCTCAAATTAACAATGAGATGGCACTCCCCAGGAGTATGTTACCCACAATCCCCACCCTCTCACTGGACGTAGGTCCTCTGAAAAGAAGCATCATCATCATAATTTTCACTTGGGGAAACTACTTCTCACCTTTCATTAAATGAAATAATAGACACCCACCCTTCTTTAAACCATATCTTATCCTTTCATCTCTGTTACGGAAGTATAAGTTAACATCATGAAAATCCGATTTCACATGTGGCACTGAGAAAACGAAATGCTATAAAAAATCCACTGTCACTCTCACAGGCGGCTGCTGCTTCCACACAGGCTTTGCTGCCTTAGGGACAGACAGGAAGTCCTACACTCAGTGTTTTCTCTGCTTATTTCGGAAATGGAGAAAAGCAACTTCATACCACACCCTGCCCGACCTGGAAAAGCTTCAGATGTTAACCTTTAAACAGTAACAAAATAGATAACCAGGAAGGAAAAAAAGAGCTCATGAATAGCCCAAGAAACCAAATTCTGCAAGGAGAAAACTTCGAGCCCACTGACAAAGCCGGTCCTAGGTTCACTCGGTACTACTACCACCGCAGATGGCCAAGCCCTCAACTCACAGAATTAAGAGCTCTTCAGCTGTTGACCTTGCCCTGTGCCCTCCTATTCAGAACACTTTCCCCTTACAATCTGTACAAAAATATCTGACTCTAAGCACCAGACTATAGGAGACATGTTCTTTTCATGCCTCTTTCATGAGGCAAACATCGTTTTTGTAACTGACAATGCAAAAGGAAGGAGATGCAGAAAGAAATGACACCACAGCAGAAAGGCAGAGTGCTGAAACTGGTAACTTCGTAAGTAAAAATAGTACAGTAACAATAACGCACTTTACAGCCCATCCTTCCACAGTGAACAATCTGCTGCCCACTGCAAGACGAGGGGTGCCCCCTTACCACAGGAAACCTGCCACAACTGCAAGGCCAGGGCTCTGTCCTTTCCTAGTTCTCAGTGTACACAGACACCACCTCCAACAAGGCAGACACACACACAAGGGAGCGCTGGCCTCCAATGTGTTATCTGTTCATAACTTTATAAAATATCTAAATTCCATTTACTAGTTAAAAACAAAAAGAAAAGAATAGAAAACTCTAGAGCAAGTAAATATTGAACTCAGAAAGTTAGAGGAGGGTTACCAACTACATCAGCAACACTTACTTTAAAAAATAGAGGCCGGGCCTGGTGGCACACAGCTTTGATCCCAGCACTCGGGAGGCAGAGGCAAGCGGATCTCTGTGAGTTCAAAGCCAGCCTGGTCTACATAGTGAGTTCCAGGACACCTGGGGCTACAGGGAGACCTCATTTCAAAAAGACCAAGAAAAAAAAAATAGAATCACTTTCTTTTGAAATCAACCACAGAGGTGTGATGTCTTTTTCTTTTCAGGGGTCCCATGATGGCACAAACAGCTTTACCTGGCAAATCCTGCCAGCCTCCAAGTCCCTGGATACTGACCTGCATCAGCACATGGGCAGCATTATCTCCCAACAGTGAGTGTGGAGAAGAGCACATGTCACCACTGGGTGATGAGGGTTGACAGATGCTTGACTTTTCGACGCCAGACATTGTTGGAGAGCTTTCCTTGTTCTATTAGAAAAGTTCAAGAGGAAGCCATGAATAGGATCAGTCCAGAAGAGTAAAACTCTTTTATTTTCACTGTCCAAACATCAGTTAATATACTGGGAGAGCCAGCAGAAACCCTCACTCTAGCCTTGCCTCTTCAGCACATGAACACTCCCATGGGGCAGGCATTCAGCTCCTTCCGAATCACATTCCCCTTGCCTGTGGTCTGTCCATAAAGCCCAAATATCTCACAGAGTTTTTCTTCACTGATTGCATCTGTCCTGCCAATTTTGTTTCCCAAGATAAGGATTGGAACATTGGATATTGTTTCATTAGTCATTCAAGCATTAAGCTCAACTTTGGATTCCATGAGGCAAGAGTGATCTGCACACTCCACCAGAAAGACAATCCCATTGATCGCTGGGAGATGATTTTTCCAAAGCTGATATGATTGCTCTTGTCCACCAAGATCAAAAGTGGTAAACGTCATTCCAGCAATCATCAGCTCTTCCGAGGTGGGATGTAGTGTTGGAACATGTTAGCCTAATCTGTCATCTTTGAGCATGTGAAGAAGAATGGTTTTGCCTGCATTGTCCAAACCCAAGAATACAAGTTTTCCAGATTTCTTATAGAGTCCTAGGAACTGAAGCACACTGCTGAAGCCATTGTAGAGCCACTCGAAGATGAACATTATTAATGCTTACTATGGCCCGAGGGGCTCCCCTGGAGGTGGTGGCAGGCCTCACTCAGAGCACAGGGACCACCCTTGGCTCTTGATTTTAAAGACTGCAGTACCTGATTGGTTGGTCTTGTTGTTTGCAGGCAAGTGGATACAGTAGAGTAAAGCTGAGAGAGAGAGAGAGAGAGAGAGAGAGAGAGAGAGAGAGAGAGAGAACCTTGGTTCTCAATCTCAGTTCATGTGGGAAGGGTGTATCTGTGCCTGACCATTCAGTTCAGACACTGGACAGTCCTCACACTGTTGATACTGCTGTCGTCCAAACTGGATACTCTGTCTTTTGGCAGCCTCATGCCCACAAAATCACACACAAAGTGACACACCCTATTATCCTCTTAAAGGGCATGTCCCCTTTGAGTGACCTCCTAGGCCTTACCGCCTAAGGGCTCCACCACCTTCCAGTAGCAATATTAAGTAGCGATGAAGCCACTGACACGTGGGCATTTGGAATATTTTCCACATTCTTCAAACTATAGCACAATAAGATAAAGTTACTAAGAATTAACTCTAATTTTGTTTAAAGTAAACTTTTCCTTGTTTTTGGAAAAGAAATTTTATCATTAAGTGACAGATATGCTTTATGAGAGATTCATAGTTTAATTTTAATTAAACCTCTTGAATTTCTCTCAAAATTTTTAAGTTCTTTTTCTTAGAAAAAGAAACCGTATTGTGATGTTACAATTCCAAATAATAAAAACAATGGGATGTGATGAATTGAAAAACCAAATTACACTCTTCCAGTGGTATGTGGCAAAACCCAAATGACTAGTAAAATGATTAGGAAACAAGACCCTGAACACAGACAAAGACACAATGGAAACCAATCAGATTGAACAGACAATCAATGCTATAATTATATTCCTCGGCAGATGGAAACTGAAAACACCAGAGCACCTGTTTTGCACAAACCAAGCTAGATTTTATAGACACAGTTTGCAAGGCAGAGGGCAGGAGTAAAGGATCTCTCTTCATTTGGATTGATTCACTCAAGAGGCAATTTCGATTTTCCAGGAGTGGGACAATTCCATTCATGAAAAACCGACAATAAGAGCAGATCAAATCACAACAGAACAAAAATTTTTACCCACTTCTGAATGTTCCTATTCTGAAAATTTCTGAAAGCTTCTTTCTTTTTATCATGGTTTCTAGTTTTACCCTTAAAACATACAGTTCCTCTGCCCCCCACCAAAAAAAAAACCCAAACTTTAATGCAAAATGTCACTCAAGTGTCAACAGAGATTCAAGGATTCTGATGATTTCTTGTTTTATTATTTACCTCTTTTGACCAGAAAGAAAACAATTCTGAGAGTTGGGAAAGGGACTTAAGATAGCTTAGAAAGTCCCTAACTAGAGGAATGGAAGTCTAAAGCCTCCTAAATATTTACAAAAGACAAAGGACATCTTCAAATTTTCATCTAAGCACCCACGTAAGAGAATTTCTGATTGCATTTAATTGAGGATTAATAGAGAATGCAGAAATTATAGCACAAGATTAAGGAGCTATTTTACCTGATGAAAGGTAAGGTGCTTCTCCTACTAGACAGCACATCAAAATTCACTGAAAAAAAATAAACTCATCCTAATGAATATAGAGAAATGCCATTTTATTAATCTATTAATTTTTCAAGAATAAAGGCTTTAAATATTCTTCATTATCCTAAAAGTCAAAATCTCCATTTCAATAGAATGTTTTTAAGAGGAGGTGGAAGGAAGTTCTAATGAATATTTATGCCCAGATCCACCTAGATTTGCTTCGTGACAGGACATAGAGCCTTTTTTATGCTTTTAAAAAATGTGTGGAACCCAACATGTAAAATGAAGATGGGCATCATAGTCAAGCAACCACAGCTGGATATATCCCAACAGGAATTCCAAATCTCTTAAGGCAATCATTATTTATTGTTGGAATAAATGATTTCCCTCCAAGATTCAATGTATTAAAGCCAGTAGTCATTTCATTGTAGCCTAATTGAACTGAAGATATTCAGTTTAAGTCTATAAAGCACTGGAGTCAGCAGAAGTCATTAAGACTGTAGCCATTGATTATTCTGTCTGTCAGTCAATAAGTCAGTGAATATTTATTGAACACCTACTAACTATATACTCTGATGGATATCAGAGGCCCAGCAGTGAACAGATCAGAGGTTTTGTTTTACACTCACAGTCCTCTTTCTCTCTTTCATCTTTTTCTTCAGGGTCCGGTGGAGAAATCTGAAACTTGTTTTGTGAGAGATTCTCCAGTGATACTAATGGACCCAGAAAAGACAAACACCACGTAGATAATATTCATTCCTGTCTAGTTACAGCTTGAGCGTGACTTTATGTAGGGAACTGTTTGGAGTCTGCAGTGACATCTTAGACTGAGTCAAACTGCTATGGACTCTAATGTTGTATTTTAAATACTTCTTTTCTTTTAAAGTCCTTAATCCACTCTGAGTTGATATTACATATGATATGAAGGCCCGTTTTCATTTCTCATGTGTGTATTTTATTCTTCCAACACATTAAAAATAAAAGAGAGAGATTGTTCTTTCCTCCAAAGTGTGCTCCTGGCACCTTTGACAAAAATTAATTGACCATATATGTTTGCATGAGAATTTTTTTGTTCTCTATTCCATTTTGTTAGTTGAGGTGACCTTTTTTTATTTTGTTTGTGGTGTTGGGGATTGAACTCAGAGCTTTCCACAAGTCGGGTATCATAGTTTTGTCCAACGTGACATAAACCTAGACATACCTAGGAAAAGGGAATGTCACCTGAGGAATTTCCTCCATCAGATTGACCTGTGGGCATGTCTGTGGGGTCATTTTCTTTATTGCTAACTGACAAAGAAGGGCCCAGCCCACTGTAGAGGGTACCATCATTGGGCAGGTGGGTCAGGGCTGTATAAGAAAGGTAACCAAGCAAGCTAGTAAGCACCATCTGTCTGTGGTTTCTACTTCAAGGTCCTGCTTTGAGTTCTTGCCTTAGCATCCCTTGCTGATACACTGTTGTCTGTAAGTGGAAATAAACCATTTCCTCCCTAAGATGTTTTTTGTCATGGTGCTTATCACAGGAACAGAGAAAGCAAAGAAGGATACCAGGTGAGCACACCACCAGCTCACTGTCTGGGTTTATCATAAACTTGGCAATATATTCCTGAAATCAGGGTGCGATGCCTACTGCTGAGCTCTTCTTACTTATATCTGTCTTGGATAAGTGAGATCTTTTTGATTCACTATAACTGTTATCTGTGAAAACGACATTAGAATTTAGACACTAGATCTGTAGTTTGCCTGGTGTGGATGTTTTAACAATTTTAATTCTTTTTTTTTTTAATCTTTTTGAGACAGGGTCTCCCTGTAGCCCTAGCTGGTCTGGATTTGTTATGGAGACCAGGCTGGCCTCAAACTCATAGAGATCTGCCTGCCTCTGCCTCCCGAGTGCTGAGATTTTGAAAGAGCTTACATTAGATCTGTAGTTTGCCTCGTATGGTGTGACTGTTTTAACAATTTTGATTCTTCTTTTTTTTTTTTTAACTTTTACAAAATCTTTATTGAGAATTTCATACATGCATATAAGGTGTTTTGATCAAATCCTTGCCCACTCCCTCCCCTCCAACATTTCCCCCTCTGAAGAGGTAAACCTAAAATCTTTTAAGGGTTAGATACAAGTTCCCAAATACTTTTGATATTTTTGGCCTTTGGAACAGAGTATGTTGTTAACAGGACCAAGAACATTTTGACTTTTAGCCAAGACACTTGCTACATTTCTTTGGTTTTTTTTACCCTAACTGCCTAGCCAATTCCTACCTCCATCACACCATCCTCTGAAGGGGTTACCCAAATTGCCAATAGGGAATAGGGGCGCAGACCACTCTGGCTTTTTCCATGCTGAACAGGGACATAGGGTGAGGCAATTGGTGTACCCCTTCAGTGGGTCTACCTAAAAGACTCCCAAATTGTATATAACTCTTGTCTCTAAGGGGAAAAGAAAGTCCTTGAATCGTGAATAGGAGATGTGAAGGAGAAGTAAAGGCAAGAGTAATTAGCATTACAAATTCTAGACGGGGAACTAGAAAAAGTCAGAACAGGGCAATTTTCAAATGTTCATGTGAGAGTCCACTGGAGTTTTTTGACAAGGGCTTCCAAAAGCATCCCTCTTTTGGTATCTTCCTCATTTTTCTTTTGTCTTCCAAGGCTAGACTAGTTGGCTGGGAAGAGTGGCTGGATTTTGATTCTAAGCCATGAACCTGGAATTTCTTTCCCTTCATATGTCTTCTGTTTCCTCCATCAGTGTTTCATATTTTCCAGTGTACAGGTCTTTTACATCTTTGTTTAAATTTATTCTAACGTAGGACCCCCAGCCTGGGGTACCCACCGTCCACGGGAGGCCGCACCCCAATAACTCAGTCCTCAGACCAGGAGATGCAACAAGCAAGAGGATTTAATCGTTTGCACAGACAGGCTCCTGCCTCACTAGGAGAGAGCAGCAGCCCAGAGCTTAGCTTACAGGCTTCTTTTAAAGGCAAAAACCACAAACCACAACCGGCAGAAGTGGGAAGGGGTGCAGCAGTAGTGGGAAGGGGAAGTTTCGGGTGATTTTCAGCTTGCGCACGGAGCATGAAAAGGTCAGCTTTTTCTCAGCAGTTAGAATTATTTTATATTTTACTTCCTTGTACAGTTTCCCAGAATATTTTTCTTTTGGTCTGGGGGGACTTGGTTTGATTTCATCACTAAAATATTATAAATATTATATTTTTTAAGATAAAAATTAGGCAGGCATGGTGGTACATGCCTTTAATCCCAGCATGCAGTAAATAGAGATAGGCAGATCTCTGTGAGTTGAGGTTAGCCTGCTCTACATAGTGATTTCCAGGCCAGCCACAACTTCATTGTGAAGCTCTGTCTCAAAAATAAATCAAATCAAATCAAAGGACAAAACTATAAAACTATTGGAATAAAATTGAGCACATCATCCAAGCTGTTGGTCTTGGGCATGAATTCTGAATCTAGCCTCAAACCCAGAGGCAACAAAATCAAAAAAGACAAGGGAAATCACATCAAGCTAAAACAGTGTTGTACAGCATACAAAACACTTAACACTTAGCAAAGA